GGAAAAATGAGCAGCCGATATTAAGGACTCAAGTAGAAGGCAAATGTTTTGGGAATGATGATGGCAACAAATGTACAGATGTGCTGGACACCATGGATGGATGTATGGATTGTGATAAGAGTTGCACGAGGCCCCAATAAAATGATTAAAAAACAAAGTATACAACACATGCCACAGTATACAAATGGCCCGTTGATAACGTAAAAAGCCTTCCATTTCATTCCGGGCCCAGGGACGGCGCGTCCATTCAGGGCTGAGGGGTGGGCTGCAGAGAGCCCTTGGCGGGCCCACAGGAGAAGCACTGTGGTGCTTTGCTCAGTGAACCGGCTGCTCTTGGGCGAGGTGCGCTTCTCTGCGGAGACAGGATCCACCTCTGCCCCAGGAATGGGCGGGCCTTCGTTCTCCTGCTCCTTTGGGAAGCACCACTTCCTCATCGGGAGTGTTTTTTTCTTCAGAAAGAACCTTGGGGAGTCGAGAGACCTTGGGCTGTTCTTGCTCCTCAGCCTCTGCTTCCAAACCAGACCGGGTCCTCCTGCACACTCTCACACCAGCCTGAGGGCTTGCATGAGACTAATCGCAGCTCTGCTTGCTGCAGTGCCCCTTCCAGGATGGAGCAGAGCCGGGCAGTGGTTCGGACCGACTGTCGCTGGGCGTCTAACTGGGCTGCTTTCGGGGAAAGCCCTGCCGCCCTGGAGACTGGAGGTCAGAGCAGGTTCAACGGTCTGCTGCCCAGCTCTGCCCAGGGCTGGGTTGCTTCAAGCCTGGAGTAGCCCTGGCTGAGGATGGAAGTCCCTGGGCCCAATGTCTGCTATGTTCTGGTTGGGGCCCGACCCCGGCGAGATGGAAGAACCTGCTCCCACCCTACCTAGCAACCCACATCTAGTAACCCACATCTTCCATCCACTTCTGCTTATGTGGGCCAGGTTGATCTTCTCACAGTGAGCTCCCAGGCTGAGCCTGCCCCTTGGCAGGACTTTCAAACCTCACTCCTGGGCAGAAAAGACACTTCAGACTATCCTCAGAGCACCGAGCCCCCAGCAGAGCTGACCTCGAGTCCGAAGGGCCCCATGTCAAAGATGAGCCAGAGAGGCCAGGGCAGGCTTCCCGGGAGGGCAGCCAGTCCCTTAGCTGGCTGTGGGGTTGAGCTTCCGGCAGAGCTCGGAGGATCGGCTGCCGGGGAGCTGGTCTAGGAGGTCTACACCTGTTCTGGTTGGTTGACCCCCACCCCCACCCCCCTCTCGGGAAATCCAGGGAGTTTCCAAGCTGAGAGCTTGGGGGAGGAGGTCTGTGGAGGTGGTAGGATTATAGTAAGAGTCCTGCTGGGTGAAGAGTGTTCTCCAGTCTTGTTTTAATACTTCCTGCTGTGAGGGAAGCAGTAGCAATGTTGGTGTGTGTGTGTGTGTGTGTGTGTGTGTGTGTGTGTGTGTGTGTGTGCGCGCGCGCGCACGCGCGCACACAAAATCTACAGAAGGACACATGCCCCTCTCAGACAAGAGGTGCAGCTCCTACCTTGGGGTTCCCGGGTGCCCCTGTGAGTGTGCGCTGTCTGGGCTGCCCGCATCGGTGTGTAATTATGTGTGAGCCTCGCTATCCTTGGGGGGCACTCAGACGTGATGCCGTGTGCAGACATCACGCCTAGGCGGCTGTCCATGAAGGCCTGTGTCCGTCCATGTTTGTGCGTCTTTCTGAGAAGAACTCTGTGTGTCTGGAGCGAGCAGCTTTGCACGCGTGGGACAGTGTGTCAGACTGTGTGGGACTGTGCGCCCCTGTGTGTGGCTGGGTTCCCCAGGATCTGTCGCTCTCTGCATACATGTGACTGTGAGTCTCCCACCTGACGAGGAATGCTTCTGAACCCACAATCTTCCAAATCGCACTGCCCCCTTCTCCCACCTCTGCCCCCCACCTCCAAGTCACTGTGCTCTTGGAAGTCCTCAGCCTCCCTGCTCCTAGTGGAAACCTCATGGCTCCACTGACCATGCCCACTGACTGGGGCCCAGACTGGGGCAGAGACTGCAAGGACACCCTCTCCATGATGCCCACCCCCACCCCACAGTGGGTACCTCGCCCATTGAAGTCCCCACTCCCCCTCCCCACTGCACTTGCCCTGTCTCTCCTATACAACCGCCACCCCCTTCTTCAGGAAGCAGCCTCCCCAGAGGCCTTAGGGAGACAGAGAAGCCATGGCCTGAGCCCCTAGGGGGCCTCTTCTGGGGCTGAGGACCAGGGCCACGGGAGCTGCCTCTGACCTGAGACCCAGAGGCCTAGGCAGGTGCATCCCAGAGAATGGGGTAGAGCGCCTCATCCCCATCCCTTTAGACTCTCAGCTAGGTCCCCTCTCCCTCCCACTGCCTGGAAGTCTCCACAGCTACTTCTCTGGGCCCTCTGGGGTTGCCCCCGGGCACAAGGAGCTGGGAGAGAGGGGAACAGGGAAATCCCCAGCCCCGGTGTGTAATTATGGGGACAGGGTCAGGGGCTAGCAGTAGGCATTGATTTAGAAATCCAGGTCTACCTGTTGAACCTAAAACACCATTGGGCCCAGGGAGGAGAGGGCACTTGTTACTAAAGTCATCTGGGAAGGGGCTTTGAGCACAGTCAGTCCAGTTCCCCTCCAGGAGCAAGAAGCCTTGGGCTGCAGATCTGTCCGTCCATCCATCCACCCGTCCATCCATATTCACTGTGCCAGCCCTTGTCCCAGGGACTGGAACCCAGAGCTGTAGCCGGCTGACTCGGTCCTGGAGCTGCTTCTGTCCTCATGGATCTTCCAACAAATCCATGACTTCAGAACTCCTTGAGGCCCCACACTGTACGAAGCCAGCTTGTTGGAGATACCTCGAGCCCCTTCCCGCCTTCCTGGTGGAGGGGGCTGACCCGGGTCCCAAGTGAGCGCCATCCACCTGCTGCAGTCTGGAGTGTGCACAGGAGGGCCAAGCTGCCAGGCTGTCTGTACAAGCCTGACCCAGGCTGCCAGGCCCTTCCTTCAAAGGCTGGCCCTGCCGCTTTATTGCCCAGCTAATGACGGTGATTAGGCCGACAGGTGCTGCCCATCCACCCTCCCGCCTGCTGAACAGGGTGGTTGCAAAGTTGGTTGGTTCTGCCCACCCCCAGCCCTGCCAAGGCACCCACCACAGCTGACCCCCTCCAGTCTGGGGTGACCTTGTATGTATCTCCTTCCCTGAGAAGGCGGGGACAGCCCAGTCCTCAGCTCCGGGGGCTGGAGGGGGTAGCTGCCCTGTGGTCTCAGGCCCCACCTGGCCCCCTCTCGGTAGCACAGAGCGGACAGTGGGAGGGCAGTAGCTCTGAGAGCAGCATGCCGGGATGGGAAGCTCACCCCGCTTTCCTTTGGGGGCAGCCCTGGACTGTGGGTGTCCCCACTGGGCCCCCAGAGAGAAGGCAGTCACAGCAGGAGCTTCATGGCAGTGGGGACCGGGTTCCCACCCATTCTGGGGCCAGCCCACTCCATGAGGACTGTCGCCTAGGGCTTTGGTGGGGGGTCCCAGGTGTGGGTCTAGGTGGGGGCTGTGATTTGTGACTGTGCTTCATGAGTGAGGAATGCCAGCCTGGGGGGCTGGGGTGGGGAGGAGCTGCTCACCTGACACTCCTCCCTCTCCTGAATGTCTGGCATGTCCTGTCAGGATCCCCTGTCCCCTGGGGACGGCCACGTTCTCCCTTCCTCCCTTCCTGCATGGCAGCGTCCTCCCATCAGTCCCGGTCCCATGGGGGTGGGGTGGGAGATTGAGGAAGGCAAAGCCCAGAGCAGCCAGAGTGAAGCCCTAGCGGTGGTCTCTCAACAGAGCTCAGCCTCCCTTTTTCTCTGGACTTGAGGGTGACGGGTGCTCTCTCTGTCCTCTCTCTGCAGCAGGAAGAAACTGGACGAGGCCCTTAGCTCTAGATGGACACTATCTAGAGCTTCCATCTGGATGGGCTTGAGATTTCCACTGTCTGCAGCAAGGGAGACTTGGGATAGACTCCGAGATGCACCTCCAGCCAGGAAGAGATGTTGAGCTTTCAGAATGGATGCCCAGTGTGATGTCATCCTGCCTGTTACCCTCCGCGCTCCGCCCCCCCACACACACACCTTGCCAGAGAGTTGAAAACTCTGGCATCTTGGGGGGTGGGCAGCAGAATATCCAGTGTTGTGTGGCCCTGGACACTAAAGGCCATGCCAGTGTTGAGCCTGCTCCTGTGAGTCTCACCTGCATCCTTCTTGCTGCAGGGTTGTTTTTTTTTCCTTGTGTGTGGGGGGTGTCCATCTTTCTGGGCGCCCAGCATGGGTCAGCCTGTCTCCCCTGGCCTGGTGGGACCGGTTTTTCCAGCCCAAGGAAGGGTCCTGGTGGCATTGGCAGGGGCAGAGGGTTTTATGTAAATGCCCAGGGAGTGCTCTGGGAACGGGGCGGCCGGTTTTCCCAAGGGCACGCAGGGACTGGCAGCTCCCAATTAGCCACCCAGTGATGTCAGTGCTGCTTTCCTGGGTGGCTGCACCCACTCTGGTCGGCTCTGGCAGGGGTACCATCTCTCTTGGGCAGGAAGGTTGCCAGGGTCTGGCCTGCAGGGCAGAAAGATCAAGCCCCTTCCAATGGTGGTCCTGCATCTGGGGCTTAACCACCCAGGGACCAGTCAGGAGAACACGGTGGGAAAAAAACCAACCCCTACTACTGAAAAGAGCCTTTAATGTGGCTAATGTCCGAGGCCTTCCCCCAAACCCGGAGAAGCCTCAGAACGGGTCGGCCAGTCCTGTTCCCATGGCAACCGCTGGTGGGCCCTCTGCCCCAGCCCACCCCAACCCTGAGTTTCAATAAATAGGGTGCAAAGGGAAGACCACGACCCTGGACCCCAGAGAGGGGGTGCCACAGAGTCTGTGAACTCATGCATATGCATGAGCTGTGCACACGTCCCTCTCGAATTGCGTACACACACACACACACACACACACACACACACACACCCCTCCTGCATATCACACAGCACCCACATACATACATATATATACATATAGACACACACACTTCTCAGACGCGCAGATCAAACACACACACACACACACATACACACACCACACACACACATTCTTTACATCACCCGATGTGCACACGGACCTCGCAGCCTTTGGCGTGGGCCTTGGAGCTTGGGGTATCCCCTCCTGGCTCGGAGCAAGGGGAATGGGAGTGGGTCTCCATGGATCTGACCAGGCTGTAACCCGGTCTAGAGACTAGGGCTGGGGTGTTGTGATGTTGGGGACAAAGTTAGACAGGCAGTGGTCTGTGTCATTGTCGATGTGGGCCCAGGAGGGGAAGGCGTCCAGACTGAAGATGGGCTTGCTCCAGCTGTTGATGGCCAGCGTGATGACCAGCACCCCGATGATGTTGAGCAGGAATCCTGCCCGGGCCTGGGGTGAGACAGGTGGTTGGACTTTGCAGGTGCTGAGCTGAGCCGGCACCCTGCCCTCAGGTGCTCCGGGAACCCCCAGGCTCTCCCACTAGCAAAACTCTCTCTGGAAAGCCCTCCTGTGGATAATTCACCTCGCCTCACGAGGCCAAGCGCCGTCCCTTGCTGGACTCCCGGTGCTATCAGGAAAAAGGGGGTCTCTAGGGAACATACAGCAGCCTGTGGGTGTCTGTCAACTCAGAATCCACTCCATATTTCTCACCTCCTCCCATTCCCCTCCTGAGGGACGTCCTGGCTGAGGGGTGACGGCTCAGTCCCCCACCCCACCGTAGTCTCCTGTGCCGGCCCATGCTCAGCTCTGAGAGCTCAGGGGTTGCGGGCTGTGCTGTCCTTGCAAGAGGGAACGAGAGCCGCAGGGACTGTGGAGGCCTTTAGTGCCCCTGCCACTCACCATGTCGGTCACCTTGAGGCCCCCGAAGGAAAAGACGATGGCATTGGGTGGGGTGGCGACAGGCAGCATGAAGGCCAGGGAGGCGGCCAGCGTGCAGGGCAGCATGACATAGAGCGGGTGAAGGCAGATGGCACGAGCCTGTGGGGGCAGGGGGGGGGGAATGTGGGAGATATGCCCCCCCCATCCCTCTGCTCTCCTACCCGAGGGTGTCCCCTCCTACCCTGGCCCACCCCCTGGTCCTGAGCCCCACGACGCGTGCCAGAAGGCGCTGTGTGACCTGGGAAGGGCCCCTTGACCTCTCTGGAGGGGATGAGTATGCAGCCCTGCCCTGTGGGGTGTGGTGAGGGGAGGGGCCCCATAAAACTGATCTCAAAGGGGCTCTGGGGGTGTCATCAAAGGCTGCGGAACGCGCCTGGGGAGGAAGGGGCTAGGGACGCTCTGGGGAGCAATTTCACCTTGTCACCCCAGAATGACCAGAACAGAGGCTGAGTCGGAGAGTGGGTGAGGCCCCTGGGGAGCCCCATCGGGATGCTCAGGGGGTGATGTCACTAGGGGTAGTGTGCCTTGGGGCCCCGGGTGGCTCCAGAGCCTGGAAGCCCAGAAAGGGAGGAGGTCCCAGAACCCCTGGGGTGCCAGGAGCAGGCCGGGCCTGCTCACCATGGAGGCCAGGATGGGCAGGAAGAGCGTGGTGGTGGCCACGTTGCTGGTGCACTCGGTGAAGGTGGCGACCAGGAGGCAGAGGATGAAGGCGATGGCAGGGGGCGGCACGTTCTGCAGTGGGGTCAGTTTGGCCCCCAGCCAGGTGGACAGGCCGGATTCCTGTTAGCAGAGCAGGGTGGTGAGAGGCGGGGCTGCCTGGGGCCCCAGAGTCCACGGAGGGCCAAGAAGGCTCTAGGGACAAGGCGGGGCCTAACGAGAAGTGAGGTGCCTTCTCCTGTTCCTGGAGAGGAGTTGGGTCGGGAAGAAAGGGCAGAAGAGCAGCTCAAGGAAAGAGCCAAAGGAACAGGTTGGAAACTAGCACCTGCCACCTCCCCTCCTCCCCCATAGCCACCTACTCTGGCCTTCTGGGCCTCTCTGGACAACTCTCTTGCCCTCTCCTGCCACCTCCAGGCCAGTGGCTGGGGCAGAGGGGCCCTTATTCCTGGTCAGCAGGGAGAGGGGCAGAGGGTCGTGGGAGAGACTAGAGACTCTAACCAGGCTGGAGGCATCCACAGTGTCCAAAGAGCTTCAATGGAGGCCTCCCAGGTGGCTCCCTTGCCACATCTCCCCTGCCCAGGTGTGTAAGGTCGGGGGAACTAGACCTTCTCTTATGCAACGCTGCACACTGGGGGTTCCATGAATGCTGGATGGCCCTGGAGTCTCCCATCCCCACTGCACCCCAGTCCACCACTCAGGGAAGCCCCCTCCTATCTATGCAGGGAGTGAGTCCAGAGGGACCCAGGCTCAGGGGTGCAGCTGAGGGATGTCCCTCTGGAGGTGCAGGAGCCTCAGCACCTGGCTGGGTGAGCTTGTGGTGCCCTCTGGCGGCTGGGGCGCACACACCGGTTCCATCCGTGCCCGCAGCTGGGTGGCTAATACTCTGCATTCGGCCTGTTGCAGTCTGGCACACTCATGGGGGCAGAGTTACCCTGTCCTCTCGGGTCGATAGGGGTCAGTACTGACTTGATGGCAGTGGGGGGGTTTGGGGCAGAGTGGGAATGGCGATTTGAGGTGAGAACAAGGTCCCCCGCCTTGTCCCCAGCCCTGTCCACTAGAGAACTTGCCTTCCCTTTAGCTTCGACCATCCCCATGGGGAGAGTGTCTCTCTCCTTCCTAAGACTCTCTTTAAGTCCCTCCAGCGGCCACAGAGCCTCTAGGACAGCTTCTAAAAGGGATCCGGTCTCCTCCCCATGGGATGGCAGGAGAGTGTCCCTGTCTGGGCTACCGGGTCTCCTTCAGATGGGCTGGGGAGGGGCTGGGGGCTCTCACCTCACTGCCCTTGGCTAGAGCAAAGCCACCGCCCAGCAGGAACACTATGTTCCAGGGCATCTTCTCATTCACCGTCTTCCAGTTGAGGAGGGCAGGAGGGGCTCTCAGCTTCCTTGGGTTTTCTACTCCCCAAATGAAGAAGGAGGGGTCACCAGCGAGAACAGACCTTCCCTCCCTCAATGGGGCCTTCTTGACACACCCAGGAGCCGATCCTCAGGCTTTGCAGTCCCCCCGACCTTGCCCCCCAGTCCCTGTGACCTTGGCAAGTCTCCCCAACCTCTCTGGGCTTCCTCTGCTCTGCCGACGGCAGATGTTGAAGGAAGCTGACCTGTCAGGCCACCTGCAGGCCCTTTGCCTGCCCAGCGCAGGTGCTTACCTCGGTCTTGGGTCAGTCCTGGGAAGTTGGAGGGCACGATGAACAAAATTAGGCCAATGAACATGGCCACTGTCCCGTCGGACAGCATGCTGCGGGTGGGGTCAGGAGGGCAGGCTTAGGGGCTCAGTGTGTCAGTCACAGGGTGGTGCATGGGGCGGCAGAGAAAGCCCCTCCCACAAATATGCCCACCCCTCCAGGGAAGTGCCCACCTCCATTCTGCACTGGGGGTCCTGTTCCCTTTCCTTGTCCCCCAAATGTGTGAACTTCAGAGGTGCCATCTCCGCGCCGCCCGTCTATCAGCTCTCACCTCTCCCCTTGGGCGTTGGGAAAAGCCAGGTTCCCCCAGCCAAGGAAGAAGCCTGGTTCCCGGGTGAACCACAGCAGCACCAGGGTGACAAAGAGGATGGTGACCGCGAATTCTGCAAAGGCCATGGGGCCCAGCAGCTGGTGCTCCCTCTGGATGACGCGGAAGGCGGCTTGTTCCTGCTCCCGAGCCTCTCCCCCGATGCCGAAGTTCTTCCGGAAGCTGCAGGCAGAGGGGCAGGGACACTCACGAGGGCCCTGGCCAGGCGGGGGGTGGGGGGCAAGGGGCTTCTAGCGCTTCTGCTGCCTGGTATGTGAAGACTGAGGCCTGCCGGAGCATCCCGGGTCCCCACGCTCGGGCCCGGGTCCGCCCAAAGTCCTTGGAGGAGAATGCAGCAGAGGGCCCTGGGTTTCCCCCTGCCTGACCTGCTCCATCTGCCCTGTGGACTCCCTTTCCCTTGAGGAGGGCTTTCTTCTGCTGAGCTCTCTCTTGCCCAAGATGAGGAAGGCCTAAGAGCTCAGACTCCACGCCTCCTCTTCACCCACCCTTCCTTCCTTCCTTCCTCCCTCCCTCCCTTCCTTCCTTCCTTCCTTCCTTCCTTCCTTCCTTGCATTGTCGTTCAGGAAGTTTTCCTCTCTTCCTCTGCCCAGCCTGAGCCCCACCCATGTTGTCCTCAGAGGCACAGGGGACTATGGCCCATTTCTTTCACTTCTGTTGACATTTAACTTTTCACTTACGTCACTCTCCGCTTGCACGCTGGACTCTGAGTCCCTCAAGGGCAAAGACCATGCTTCGCACATTTGTGAGCCCCCCCATTATGCTGGTCTCTTGCATTACCACCAGCCCCCAACCTCACATCAGTCTGCTCACACCTGCCCAAGCAGTTTTTCCGAAGGACAGGCACTAAGCTCAAAATCTCCCAATGATTTCATTGTCTGTGCAGAAAGAGCAAAAGAACGTAGCACTCATCCCACCGTGTCTCTATCCTGTGCTGGTGGCAGGCATCACTAATCCATCACAGCACTTGCTTCCAACTGAGCCTAGAAGGGTCTGACAATGATTTTCAACTCAGAACTCCAAATGGCTAGTTACCCAGGTTTGGATGTAAGAATCACATCTATTTCCCATGGATGTCTCTAGGACAAGGTGTAGGCGAAAGCCCATAAAATTCTCCATAAACGGCCCCTACTTATTTTTCTAGCTACATCTCCTGACATGCTGTTTTGCACTTTACGTCTTAGCTACACAAAACTAGAGTTCCCCCAAACACTTCATGTTCTTTCTTGCCTCTGGGCCTCTGTACAGCTGTCCCTGCTCCCTGGCATGTCGTTACCTGACTCTCTACCTGGCTTTCGGCTAGCCCTGCAAGAGTCCGCTCCAGCATCCCATCTCCTCTAGAGCCCTTCTGGAATCCCATTACCCTGTGCTGAATTAGGTCCTCCTTCTTCTGTGTGCTCGATACCTGGGCTTCCCGCTGCCAAGGCCCCAGCATATGAATGACCATGACAGGGGCTGTGCCTTATGCCTCCGCCCACTCTCAGCGCTGAGGATCGGGCTCAATGCTTGTGTTTGTAACTGACCCTACTCCGCCTGTGCTCACTACACAGCTCTAGGAGGACGGCAGAGGACTGTGGGAAGGGGCCTGATCTGGGCACCAGGAGACAGGGTTTTCAGCGCCAGCCCTGACACATCTAGCTGGGGTCCACATGAGCAACCTGTCTCCTCGACCCTCCATTGGCTCATCCGCTAGATGGGACCCTACGCTTCCCCAGGCAACGCCTGGAGCTGCTGGTGAACAAAGTGGGGACCCAAGTTGAGGAAGAAGTCGTCCCCCTGGGGTGGTGAGGGCATCCTTTCTCCAGATGAAGGAGCCTCCATCCTGCATCCCTGGCAGCAACCTGAGGGTAAGGGCAGGCATGGGGGCAACTCCTACCCATTCCGGCACTCACTTAAAGCCCAGGAAGAGGATCTGCAGCCACAGCCAGGCAAGCAGCAGCAGGATGATCATGGTAGGGAAGGCAAAGCCAAACCAGGACGCAAAGTTCACCACGTTGCCATTTTCGGGGAAGAGCCTGCGGAGGAATGCAGGCGGCTGTGTGGCAGGGCAACCCCCAGCCCCATCCTCCTCCAGAGCCCCCACCCCCCCACCTCTGCAGGAGCCCCCTCTCCCAACACTCACGAGTTGATCTGGCCTTGCAGCACCAGGTTGGGGGTGGTGCCAGTCAGGGTGGCTATGCCTCCGATGCTGGCCGAGTAGCACACGCACAAGCTCATGCCCTGGGTAAAGCGGAGCTGCTGCTGGCTGTGATGTGCCGAGGCCGGGGAGGGTGCAGGCAGGGCAGGGCGGACCTGCCCATTATCTGGGGGCAAGGGAAAGCTCAGGCAGGGGGTGGGCACAGGACCAACTTCTGGGAGCCTGGCTGAAACTCGATGACCTCCTGAGACATCTGGGCTGGGAGGGCAGAGACTGCACCCAGTCTCCTGAACCCACCACTCACCTCAGTCTCAGACTGAGAGCCCCTTCAGGCCCCATCTGGCCCAACTTCCTCCTTGAGAAGCTTGGAGAAAGAGGATGATACCTAGCCATACGGGAGTGGAGACTAGACCCTCAGCGAGAGCCCACAGACTATCTTTTTGCTAGGGGACCAACCATCCTGGTTGGCCCTGGATCAAGCAGACTCCTGGGACGCAGAACTTTTAAACCAGGAATGTCCTGGGGAAACCAGGTGCCATCAGTCACCGTACGCCTTGCCTCCCTCTTCCTTCCCATCCAAGGTTCCAAGTGGACCGCCCTTGGAAATGGACAGCCCTCAGCTGCTCCCCGGAACGGAGGGGCTGGCCAGAGGGGACAGGGCCCAGTTTTCTCTTTCTCACCAAGCTGGGCCCCTTCTTTCCGGGCGGTTGGCTCCTGGAGCTGGAAGGCAGGGTTTTCGCTGCCCTCCTTGGCGCTCTTGTCGCCCGGGTTGCTGTACAGCTGCTCCAGGACGGCGTGGGCGATGGGCACCATCATGGCCGTGGTGGCCGTGTTGCTAATCCACATGGACAGGAAGGCCGTGACCACCATGAAGCCCAGGATCAGCCTAGGAATGGACAGATGGGCACACTGTGTTCCGCTGTCCCTTCAATGACTGGCTGGCTAGGACGCTGCTCTCCGTCGCCCCCCACCCCCCTACCCCCAGGTTCTTCTGCCCAGGGGACTCACAGGGCAGGCCGCACACCGACCAAGAGGAGCACACGGAGGGCGATGCGCTTGTGCAGGTTCCAGTGCTCCACCGCGATGGCCATCAGCAGCCCCCCGATGAACAGGACGTTGGTGTCATTTAGGTACTCGATGCAGACCTGGCAGGCGAGCACAGGCGGGCAGAGACACAGCTGAGGGCCAGGGAGACCCTGCCTGGGCCCTCGCCCTGCGCTCCTGAGCTTGCGGGACGCAGATCCACACAGATGCACTCATCAACGTCGGTCCCCTGGTCGTTGGGTTAGCCAACATCCAGGATCAGCCAGCATCCTCTCCTCAAATCAAGCTCTGTCCTTCTCCCCTGGGGGACCATTGGTAGGAAGCGCAGACCAATTCTGCTCCTGTTACCAGCCAGGGACCCTGGGATGATTCTGCTCTGTGTCTGCATTAGAGAGCATCTTTGGACACCTGTCTTTCACATCACCAGTGGACAAGGATCAGGTCCCAGCCTACGCCACCTGAGTGACATCCTGGGGTGAGGTCCAGAAATCTGTGTGTAACGCTGTGTTTACCGAACGTGTCCTTTTGATGCATTTCGATTTCCTCAACAAAAATTACAGAAACCATTCATGTTTACCTCCCATTGTTTACACTGGCCTTTATCCATCTAACGAGGCAAATATAGATATCTAAGTTCCTTTTCTTCTAAGCCTTCTAATCTCAAAATTCACTATGTGTTATACACTATCTCTATGGATACACGTCACTTTTTACACCAACGTACATTGAGTATTAATCCCAATAAATCGGCTTCATTCATGAAAGCATTACTTCAGTCATACATTCGGCCAAAAAGACCTTAGAGAGGGAACATCAAGATTATCATTGAGTTAGTTAATTGTGCCAGCCTGGCCGATAATCACATGTGGTGCTGGTTGAAAGGCGGAGGGATAAATGGGTGGTGAAGCCTCGCCT